TGTAGTTGCTTAAAAAATAATATTTAATTTATTCACCAATTTGCAACTTGGACAGGGTTTGATGAAAACATCTTATTTCTGCTTGACTGTCTCATTTGGGCCAGATTAAAGGACAAGGACTAGAATCATCTGAAGACTATTTAATCACATCCATGTTTCTTGGTTGAGCTGACTTTCATCTTGGAAATCATCTAAGGCTGAACTTTCTTTGTGGCTCGAACTTCCTCAAAATGTGACAATTAAGTTCCAAGGGAAAACATCTCAAGGGAGATTCAGGAAAAACCAATATTGCCTTTTCTAAACAAGTCTTGTATGTCTGCTGCCTTCCATTGTTAGACACAGATAGTTCAGACTAACCCACAGTCAGGAGGAGAATTAAATATCAGATCATACTCAGTGATTTATCACAGAAACAAAGAACAGAGTTCTGTATGTTCTCACTCATAAACGGACCTTGAACAATCATAATGCTATAAGAAAGCAATTGACAGTAGTGAGAAACTGTTAGGGGTGGGGTGGGAGGTGGGATTGGCAGTTGAGGGAAACTGCTAGGGGAGGGAGGGGCATACCTCATCAACAATGATTAATGTTTATATACCTAACCCTGAAATGTACTCCACATCTTTATAATAAATTTCTTTAAAAGCTCATTTAACATAGTATTTTAACTTTATTTCATTTTTAAAGATATTATAGAAATTTCCTACTATCTACTGAAAGTTTTTTCCCTCATATTTTAAAGGTATTACTTATATTTAAGGACTGATAATTTCTGATGTTTGATTACCTTGAACATATATGCACACATATATACACAAATATCTACATACATATATGTATTATATATCAGTTAGTTTATTTATATATGGTTATAGTTGCACACACCACATACATAAATATTATGCATTATATATAAAATGTATGTATAACCATATACATATATAACTACAATTGTTTTTTAAACTCTTTGACAATTCCTGTGCTTGGGCTATGGGCTCTGAGCTGAGATGCCCCTGGGAGGTCTGTGGCAGCCTCTGTCGCACTGGAACCTGCACCGTCAGCGGGAGTCATAGGAAAGACCCCGGGACACCACGGAACCCAGAAATGAAAAAACAATGGGAACACCAGAACAGTGAAGATAATCTCAAAAAACCCAAGGGAAATCTAAGAAGTCATGTGATAAAGAGATTCTGTGAAAGTAAAGAGGATCATCAAGGTGGAGAAACCTTCAATCAGATTCCAAATGGTATTGTGAACAAGAAAACTTCTCGTGTAAGACCACATGAAAGAATTGTAAGTAGAGAAGTCAGCATGGTTCATTCATCCCTTAATAGGTACAATGGAGATGATGACACTAGACACAAGCCATATCAGTATAAGGAATATGAAGAAAAATCTAATATACATAACAGATGTGAGAAAGCCTTCAGTTATCACCACTCCTGCTGAACACATGAAAGGGCCCACATAATAGATAAATGCTATGACTGGAAATAATTTGGAAAATCTTTCTTTCTCTTGGAAACCATTGAAGTCACATGGTAGTACGCCATGGAGATGGACCTTATAAATTATAAATGTAAGTTGTGTAGGAAAGCCTTTGATTGTCCTAGTTCACGTCAAAGACATGAAAGAATGTATGCTAGAGAGAAACCTTATGATTGTAAAGAATGTGGAAAAACCTTCAGTTGTTTTAAAAGCCTTGTAGGACACATGGTAGGGCACTGTGGGGATGCACCTTATAAATGCAGGATTTATGGAAAAGTCTTTGATTGCCCCAGTGTGCTTCAAAGACATGAAAGAACTGACATTGGAGAAAAGCCATAAGAATGTAAGAATTGTTGTCAAGCCTCCTGTACGTGTAGTTACTGTCTAGCTCATGAAAGCACTCACATAGGGGAGAAACCCTATGATTTTAAAGGATATAGAGAAAGCTTCATTTGTCTGCAAGCCCTTAGAGAATACATGATAATGCACACTGGACTGGGACCTTATAAATGTAAGTTTTATGGGAAAACTTTTGACGTTCTTGGGTATGTGAGTTATACATGAATGAACTACACTGGAGATAAATCGTATGATTGTAAACAATGTGATAAAGCCTTCACTTGTGGGACTTAACTTAAAATACATAAAAGAATTCACACTGGAGAGAGACCCTATAAGTGTAAACAATGTGGGAAAACATTCAGGCTTTTCAATTACATTAGATTACTTGAAAGGACTCACGCTGGAGAAAAACCCTATGAATGTAAACAATGTGGAAAAGCACTTTCTCACTTGAGAAGATTTCAAAGACACATGATAACACACACTGGAGTTGGACTTCATAAATGTAAGATATGTGTAAGATAAATAAGATAAATTAAAAGTCAGTAAGATAAATGTAAAATGTGTGGGAAATTCTCCCAGTTCATTTCAAAGACATGAAAGGACTCACACTGGAGAGAAATCTTATGAATGTAAGCATTGTGGGAAAGCTTTCAGTCATTTCAATTACTTTTGAATACATGAACAAATTCATACTGGAGAGAAGTCGCATGGTGTAAGAAATGAGGGAAATCATTCAAGTTTCCCAGTACCTGTCATAAACATGAAAGGAAACACACTGTAGAGAAACCCTATAAGTGTAAGGAACATGGGAAAGCATTTCATCGTATCAGTGTCTTTTACAAACATGAAAGAATTCACTAGAGAAAAATCCTATGAATAAAGAAACTTTGGAACTTTCAGTTAGTTATAAATAGATGAAAAGACTCACTGGTGAAAAGTCACATGAGTGTAAAATTGTGGTGAATATAAGGGATATGGTAAAGCTTTCTTTCTCTAGCAAACTTTTAAAGCCTCATGTTATGACACACTGGCAATGGACCTTGTAACTGTAAGGAGTGTGGATAAGCATTCATTAGTCCTCATTTATTTCATTACATAAAAGAAGTCAAACTGGAGCAAAACACCATGAATATAAACAATGTTGTAAAACCTAAGTAGTTTCAGTTTCTTTCTAATACAGTTCTCCTCAGTATCTGTCAAAACTTGGCTCCATAATTTTGTCCTCCTTTATGACTGTGTAATACTTCTTTGTGTATATGTACCACATTTTCTTTATAGAGTCTACTTTCATTGATCACAATACTACAAGAGAGGGATCGGCGGTAGTGTGGGACACTGCCAGGGGAGAGGCAGGGTCACATAATATCACTAAGGGTACCTGATCCTAAACCAGGGAAAGTGAAGACCAGTGAGAGGCTCAAACTTCACCTGCATGTAGATCACTTATGTACCTAATCCTGATGCATAACCTACATCTTTAAAAGGAAAAAAAAGACTACTGCTACCCTCAAGAATACCTAAAAATATAAAAAATAAAACTCACTGACATACAGCATTTGTCTTTCTTTAAATTTATTTATTTATGTATTTATTTAAAGACATGGGGTATAAGGCATTCGTCTTTTAAAAGCTTCTATTTGTAGTTACATTAGCTTTGAGATTGCTATTATTGGATATTATTTGTGGTCAGAAAGTTCAGAATCTTGTTTTTCACCTACCTTTTTTTAAGGACTAGCTCTTGGTTTCATTTTATTATTATTTAATCTTTCATTTCAAAATTTTATTTTTATTCATATACTTATATTTTTTTGAGTATCTTGTATTTTTTAGAAATTCAGACAGTTTTTCTTCCTTGAGAAACTTGCCCATGGTAGGTCTTTCTGCCATGTATCTTCCATTTTCCTTCTTCTCTTTTCCTCACTAATAAACTTTATTTAAAAATGTAAAAAAGAAAGAAAATTAATTAAAGAATATATATGTATTTTTGGAAGATACATTATGTATTTTTAATTTCTAAATTAATTATTTTTGGGTATCCTTACACTGATAGGTCTTTATTATTTTACAATGTTTTCAAAAAATTTTCCTATTTACTTCTTTTTTTGTGTGATTTAGTAAGCATTGTATATTAATTGTAGTATGATGTATATTTGTATTAAAGTTTTCTTGGGTATCAAAATACTTTATTTTAATTAAATAAGAAACTTCCAAATACAAAAAATTTCTCTTACAATACTTTTATTCAACTTACTTCTCCATTTATTTGACACACACACATAGATTCATGTAACATATCAATCTCTGATAGAATGCTGTTAAAATCTTACCTCACCTTATAATTGTGGTTGTGCCACAAAATTTATATTGCATATTAATTTCTGTTTTTCCTTGTATTTATTCAGCAGATGTTGCCATAAATAAGATCTTTATAGATAAAATCTATCTATCTATCTATCTATCTACTATCTATCTATCTATCTTCTATTTTTCTGTCTATCTATGTAAATGTTATACCAATTTTTCTAGAGACAGGCAAGGTGGTGATGAAAATGGTTGGAGTGTGAGAATCTCTGCAAAAGCAAGCATCTATAAAGACCATCTGCATGCGTGGGTGTGTGGTGTTGGGTGAGCGAAAGTCTGACAGAGGGAATATTCGGGTTCAAACACCCAAAGTTCTCCAATGGAGGTGACTACAACCCACCACTGCCTTGAGATCAGAGGCCTGGTGTGCAGGATAATCTGCCATTCTTGGGGGTCGCTTGGGAGAAGGCAGCAGAGATCAACTACTCCTCAGCACCTGACACCTGGCCACACCATCACCAGCTGAAGCAGACTGAGCACTAGCAGCAAGAACTGTGGAGAAGACAAAGTGAGGAAATCTGGAATTGAGCCCCACTGCTGGTGAAGAGTTGCCAACCGCCACCATTTTCTCTGTCCCAGATGGGCAGAGACCTGTGTTGCCAGTTCTTTCTAGCCTCTAACCTGAGACCTTTCTGGGATTGACACTCTGGTATCGACCACCAGACATGGAGAGACAGACACCCGTCCTCCATGCTGGATGAGGCACAGACATGGCTGATCTGAGTGGGAGACTTGGCAGCGGCAGCAGCAGCAGACAAGTTGGGTGAGTCCGGAACTGATTCACCTTCCTCCCATAGCAGTTGGCAGGGCATCTGACCCATGCTGAGAGCAATCCAAATGACCTGCATTAAGAGTCGAGGTGGGCTAGAGACCGGAGCCCCTCCCTAATGCAGTGGCAGCCAAAAACATCAGTAGTTCTTGGAAAAGGAAACTGAAGTTCTAGAAATGGCCACAGAGAGAGCTCTTTTGCTTTCTTTCTGTTTTTGTTTATGTTCTGGTACTTGCTTTGTTTTTATTATTTAAATGTTATTTAGATTTTCTTGTTGAGAGCCAGCCATGGAGGCCCACTGAGCATTAGGGATCAGGAAGGGCCGTTGACCCCAAGACCACTAGGATGCATTTGGGAGCTATTTGATCCCATTTCCTCCCCCTTTCTAGTTAGCACTAACCAGATTAAGCTCCTGTGAGCTCAAAACATAAAAACTCTGAGACCGGGATGAACACAAGTTAACTTTAGAAGTTCATTGTTACCATTCTTCCGCAAACTGCAGTTTTGGCTTTCACACAACTTATAATTCAAACTTGTGTCACATCTAAGAGCCTTAGTATTGGCCACAGGCTTCTGGGTCATGATCTTAGGATTTATTGAAGGTGTAAATTGTAGAATATAGTTTTAGAAGACAGCCATTTTGTTGAAAGAATGCGGCTGGGTTACTTGCAGGTAGTCCACTGTGAACTTTGAACTGGGCCACATTCCAAACATTCTGGGATGGGCCACTTTCATTTGTAAAGTAAATACTTAAGCTTCTATAGAATTGTTTAACTTGGCATAAATCAATCAGCTTAGGATGAAAAAGGTTTATAGAATATATCAGTCCCAGATTAGGTTATTCTTTGTTATGGGATTTTAAGATTATCATATGAAAAGGGCTTAAAGGCAATCATTGATTAAGTTTTCATGGATTAAGATTTCTGGTGGGTGGGGGACGCCCCTCCCACATCTGACTTTGTATATAAAAGACCCGTTGTAATTCCCAATAACACACATCACTTCTTCACTAGACTGGAGTCCAGTCTCTTTCTCTCTCTCTCTTTCTCTCTTTCTTCTTCCCCCCAGTCGCCGATGCTGTCTCCACCTTTGGGGTACCCTGAACCCGGCTAGAGCTGGTCTCCAGCATTTTCTGTTTGTATATGGGTATTTTTGAGGGTGAGTACATCAATGAGTTTTTTGTTTGTTTGTACATTTTTGGTTTTTTGCTTTTTCAGTTTTTGTTTGTTTCTTTGTTTTGTCATTAGTTGGTGTGCCTGTCTGTTTTCCCTCTTTCCCTTCTCTCTCTTTGTCTGCCTTTCATTTCCCTCCTTCCTTTTTCTGTTCTTTTCCTTTTTCTTATCTCATTTTGCCTTCAGTGGACAAACATACAGCTCCACCACATGGAAAGATTGCAAGCCAGTGGGAAGTGGGTTCCAGGGACTTGCACATCTGTCAGCTGACACTATGATTTGCAGATAGCTTCTGAACTATAGCTCCTCCCTTAATCAAGTCTCGCAACTGCAAAAAGCACAGTCCCCTAAACCTAGTTAAGCTTCAAAATTGAACAAATTCAGAGGATCTACATAAGGAAGAATAGGGGATTAAGCAAACAGAAGTAAAAGCTATCTCCCCCATCACTGAATGACAGAATGATACAAGTGGTGGGGGGAGCAGAAGGAAAATCTTCACAATTGAAGAAGAAGCAACGGAAGAACACAGGTCCCATACAGACTCCTGGGAAGACAGCAGTTGAGAATACAGGCTTCTAAACTCAAACAATGAAGAGACCCCAGAACAACTGGTCTCAAACCACAAACTCAGACATCAAGATATTAATAGAGAGAATAAATAGAAATGAGGAGAGATAAGAAGAAAGAATAAAGGAGTTGATAACTGAGATGATGACAATAAAAAATACAACTAAATGAATA